GAGTCTGAGTGTACTTTGTGTCCGTTTCATGTTGTAAAGTCCCCCGTGACACAGGATTTATTCCTAGTGCGGGAGTTGTCTTTAACAAAAAAAAAAAAAAACTTCTCAGTACTAATTTCACGGTTATGGAATGCACTGTCTGAAATGTATGTTATATTTAGATGTTAATGCAAATTACATATTTTTGCCTATAATTATTTTATAGTTGTTGCACCAAGACTTATCTAAGTACCATTAAACAGTATAGTCCATCCTGATAGTCTGTAAGATATTCAAGACTACGATTTCTAGATAAAATAAAAATATGGTAAAGGAGAGGGAGGGGTTGAACGAGCAGACGGTCCATCTGATGATAAGTGACTACCGCTACCTATGGACACCTGCAACTTAGTCACAAGTTTATAATAGCCCTTTTGAGTCCCTCCTCAGAATCAGGAGGGAGGTTTGGGATCCGGTAACGTCTGTCACTTGTTGAAAAGTAATGAAAAAATTGCATAACTTCAGTTTTCTGAGAGGCCATGGTATTATTCCGGTCAAACTCACTCTTTATTCCATAAAAAAATTAAAATTGTTTGAAATCGTCTTTTATGTAGACTCTAAAGTCATAGAACAACACACACAAAAGCAACAATCTCTGTTTTGTCAAATAGTAAGCAAATAAATTTAACAAAAATCAAACCCATACAAAATCTATGATATGCCTGCGCCGATCTACAACCGCCCGTTTCCAAGGGGTTGAGCCCTATGAGAATAAAGGGCAAACAAACTCATGGCCACTCTTTTGCAATTCACAGATAGATACGAGTACAATGGCACTATTAAATATACCACAACATTGTTTTAATTGTCAAACCAACTTATATTTGTTGAAACGGCTCTCCCATGGCTTTCAAAATATATTTCGGGGTGCAGTAAAGAATATCTATCTGTCTATATATAGTTATAATTACTAGTGTACCAGAATCTACACAACAGTCTACACAAAGTTTGGATATAAATACCCTACTCACCCATTCCGCGAGCACTTACAACACTTAACGCTCTCTTGGACTTAAATCCAGACTATGACTTGTTTGCGGAGTCAGTATGTCTGGTGTACTGCGAGAAGTCTGTGTTAGAAGGAGCGAGTTTTATATTGTAAATAGACAAAGTTATTATATGGTATAGTTTATTTTGTACTAACTTTTGCCCGCGTAAATGTCGGCTCACATCAATTACATCAACAGCCTTTAATAGTCCACTGCTGGACATAGGCCTCTCCTTAGAAAGGAGATTTTGACGTACTATATACATCGCTAGCCAGACGGGTTGGTATAGGGCTTATGTCAAGTTTTCCTTCTCTCTACAGTGCTGTTGTTCTGCATAGTTTTCTCCCTTAGTCGACTCTTACGACACCCACGGGATGAATAGGGGTAGTGACACTCTGTATTCTTATGTAATAAGTAGCCTGTATCTTCATACCAAATTTCATCTAAATCGGTTCAGCGGTTATTGATTCCCCATACAAAATTCCACCCCTCTTTTCACCCCCTTAAATAATGATTTAGGGATTACAAACTACCCCATGTCCTTTCTCAGGACTCGAACAATCTCTACATCAAATTTCATCCAAATTGGTTAAGCGGTTTAAGCGTGAAGAGGTAAAAGACAGACAGACACACTTTTGTATTTATAAAATTAGTATGGAGTATGGATTAACGTTTCTCTCTTAATTAGTGTAAGTGGCCGAAGGTCGTTCTGATTAAGAATAAACAAATAAATAGCGCTAAATATGTTCCAGACAGTATGAATATTTATTTGGCGGCACATATACGGTCACAACAATGTCATGCCAATTTGATTCTTAGCTCTTCTGAAAATAGAACGGTCCTTATAAATCTAGCGGTGTCCCATTCTCAATCTATTTTGGTTTCACCAACTTAGGTCGGGCACACAATGTAGACGGAAGTACCTTTCAACGTCTCTCATGTGTGACATGTCTTGTCTTGAGTTTCTGCAGAGTACAAATCTCTATCTTAAAGTGCCAGGTACTATTGAACCAAAAACAGGAATAAAAGTAGTTAACAATATTAAAACTCTGTTGAGGGTAGGGAGAGAAATAAAAATAATAATAACCGGGTGAGGTTATTGTTATTTGAACACACGACTGTCTGATTCCAAACCAGTCAGAGCCAGAGTACTATGGTATACAGACTACTGATAAACATACTACATAATACTAAATACTTCTAAATAAATACATAATTATAGATAATTTACAACCAGAAACAAAACAAATGATCGTGCTCATCATAAAATTATTTGTCTTCGGTGGAAATCGAACCTACGACCTCTGACTTAGCAGTGAGGCTCACTAACCACTGGACCAACAGAACAAATAGCTACATAGATGATGTACTCATCTATTGTGCAACATTTTATGGTCACAAATATTCCTTAGCCTCTCTATTTTTAGGCGGAAACACACATCTCGCCCTTTTCCTCGACGAAAATCGACAGTGTGTCAAAAGCCCTATATATAACATTACATATTTCTGTACTTTGGAGTTTAAGTGTTGAGATGAAGCGGTTTTACTTTAGTATTTAAAGTCGCTGTGAAATAAATGGTAGCACAAACTAAATACTAATACGACAAAACACTTTGTATGTACGTAAAGTTTTTTTTTTAAAAGACACCTCACCATCTAGGAATATAACCTGTGTCGCGAGGGACTAAATAAACATACATGAAACGAACACAAAGAACACCCAGACTCAGAACGACAATTTGTGGATCACACAAAGTGTCGTCCCACGTGGGAATCGAACCGGAGTCCAAAACTCACTCAATAGGTAGCAACGCACCTGTGTCTCTTGAGTTACACATGTGCATGGGTTTGTCCCCTACGCCATAAGAAAAAAACGTGACCTTTGTAAAGAAATAAAATAAATTTATCTATTGTGTTCTCATATTTTGCTATATTTTCATCTACAAATGCCTATCTACTTCTCATTATCAACTTAATCTCACAGAACAATAAAATATTTCTAACTAACTTTTGCCCGCGACTCCACCCATGTGTATGTCGGTTATCGCGGTAAAAAGCCTATATCCTTCCTCAAGAATTTGATTCTTGAGGAAGGACATAGGCTTTTTACCGCGATATTATATAGTTTGCCATATACATACGAAATTTTATCTAAATCGGTTTAGCGGGTATTGATTCCCCATACAAACTTCCACCCCCCTTCTCACCCCCTTAAAGGATAATCTGTTTAGCATTTTAAGCGTGAAGAGTAACAGACAGACAGACACACTCGCATTTATAATATTAGTAGTAGTAGTAGAAAAATAAGAATCCAAATCGCTCGTACCTTGTACCCTACGACACACAGGCTTCAAATGCGCTCTTTTGTTACCCCAATGTTACATAGACACAACACATAGACAGACATACAATAGGCCACTGTTTTTCATTATACGCCATATATTCAAGCCCCTTCCATCTTTGGTAATGACAGAAATGTCACAACCTTTTGTATAAAATGTATGAAAAATCACGTTCGAAGTTTATGACAGTAATTTGTTGGTTGTGTTGTTATGCGTTGACTGTGAGATCGTGGGATCGATTCCAATCGGTACATGGTATATGTATGTGTTTTTTATCGTGTAAGACATTTTTTAACTCTCAAAGCACAATTTTAAAACATATTATACTTATTTAAATGTTAAAGAATAATTTTATAGTTCCTAAGTTGATATAAGGTTGTTTTTGTTTACAAATTTTGTTATTTCTTTTTGTTGTTCTGAGTTTTGTAATTCTAATAGCATGTAGTTTTTTAATCAATATTACTATAGATATAAGCGACTTCGTATACACTGTAATCCTTAAATTTAATTAATAAAGAATTGGATTGAATTATCGAAATCGAACCGATTATAGTCCATCTAATCTAAGAGGTACCGTTTGACAGTTCTGACAGATTGAATAATAGCGATGAGGTCAAAGAAATCGAAAACTACAATATCCGATTCTTAGGAGATTTTGATATAATTTCTAAGTATGTCTGTAGTTATGAAGAGCAGCAAAACTACGGTAAAGGACCTAACTAAGTTACTTGGAAACGAAGTTTGAAAAAAACATCTATTTTGTATTAATTGTAAAAAGGATTTGTGAATCTTGCAACAAAATAAAAATAGTTTTATAATTCCATGGTTTTACGGCAAAGGCATCATCCACAGCCTTTAATAGTCCACTGCTGGACATAGGCCTCTCTTTAGAAAGGAGGTTTTGGCCTACTATTCCACGCTAAAACACAAAGTTACGCCTATACAGTTGTTTCGTCTTGAAATGTATAAAACGTCAAACGGTACCTCTTAGATTAGATGGACTATAAACGTTGCAAAAGGAACCGGGTACTCTACGAAGGAAGTTCCCGTTATTTTTGCTATTATTGACCACATTTTCCAAAAAAATAAAAACAACTTGATACATCTCACATCAGGATGTCTGTACCCAAAACTAGGCGGATCCTGAACTATCAAAGTGCTGATAAATTTCCTAACTAATATTATCAATGCATATGTGAGCTTGTCTGTTACACTTTGAAGCCTAAACCACTGAGCCTATTTTAAAAATACTTTCACGAATGGAAAGCTACATTATCAGCGGGTAACTATTTAGGCGGTAGGCTATTTTTACTACGATAACTGACATAAACGCGGGCGGAGTCGCGGTCAAAAGTAGTAATTATTTATTTCCAAATACAGAAATATTATAAATAAATTACAGCCAGACACAGAACAAATAATCGTGCTCATTGCACAATCATTGTCTTGGGTGGGAATTGAACCAATGACCTCTGGCCCAGTAATCTGGGGCACTAACCACTAAACCACCAAGTCAATGGATTATTTTAAACTATTGTTGTAATAGGTTATGTTTTAGGCCAGATTCTCTCCTATAAATTAAAAAAAAAGTTTTGTTACACGAAATATACAGTTTTTTTCTTGTCCACAGGAATGTCCCGAAGGAGTCGTACAAGAAGAATCTTTCAAAGACATTTACGCCAAATTTTTTCCTCACGGCAGTAAGTATAATTTATAATTCTCTTTAATATACATCTCAGCCTAAAAATTACTAGATATAGGCCTCCTCCAAGGTCGTCACCTTCACCAGCTCGTCGGACCACGGACCACTGCAAATCATCATCATCAACAGCCTTTAACAGTCCACTGCTGGACAAAGGCCACTCCTGAGAACCACTATACCACGCCGGCCAGACGGGCAGGTATAGGGTTTGTGTCAAGTTTGCCTTCTCTCTGCAGTGCTGTTGTCCTTCGTAGTTCGGTCCCTTAGTCGCTCCTTACGACACCCACGGGATGAATAAGGGTGGTGACACTCTGTATTCTTAATCCGTCACCACACGGACGCAAATCACTGCAAAATTATACTTATAAAAGCTTAAATTTCTTCATTTATAAGCAGGTAGAGACAACAGGCCGCGAGTTGCTTCTCTTTTTATGTCAAAACTATCCTTTGCCCGCGGTTCCGCCCGCGTGTTTGTCGGTTATCGAGGTAAAAAGTAGCCTATGTCACTCGCTTTCCATTGGTGCAAGAATTTATAAAATCGCTTATGTGGAGGAATGGGTGTTATGTCCCTCCAACACAAAGGGAGGATCCTTCGACTAGGCGAGGTGATCATGTCTGGCAGGCCGCAGCCCGCCAATTGATGTTGGGAAGTTGTATATAAGCTAATCGGCGAGAGAATTCTTCATATCGCGATACAGGATTAGCAATTCTCATTCAGGAGTTACTCCATAGTTCGGTGTGTCTTCGTTAGATGGCGCTGTAGTATTTTTCTGTTTCTTTGTATGTGGGAGTCGCCACAGTTTTTGTGGTTTAGGCGTGAAAGCGTATAAATGGATAGGGAGCTACCTCAAGGCCCTTCCTACCTAATTCAGGCGGGATAACTCAAAAGCCGTCAACGTACTTGTAACTCATGAGATGCAGGCGTCCATGGGCAGTAGAAGTCACTGCTCAGCCCTGAACAGTCTACTCGTTTAATCACATCAACAGTTTTTAACAGTCCACTGCTGGACATAGGCCTCTCCTTAGAGAGGAGGTTTTGACCTACTATATTTTCAGAATTTCAAAGTTAAGTTTATCACTCGGAAACGTAGTCAAAAGTCTTCGAAGAATGACTTCCGAGATGGTAGACCTTTTTACATAAAAGGTGTGCCGATTATCCGGTATTTATACTCTTGTAAAGGTTTTGACTGTTTCCTTTTTCATTGTACAGTAACAGCATTTCTTCAGTACGTTTTAAAGTGAAGGTTCAGTAATGTTTTTATTGTATTATTTTATTTACCATGCTTCGTTACAAATAGACCATCAAACGCCTACCGGTGTACCGCCTACCTAAATTCTTTCGTTCTCACGTCAAGTGCAATATCAATGCACTTGAATTGCAGATGAGAGCAGTTTCATTACAACTTGACAACCCCTTTTTCTTTGTATTCTTTCGATTTGTCAATCCAAAGGTAGCCTGTAAGAGATTGCTTTGCTAATATATCTTATTCTACAACCGGGCACTTATACTTCTAAATAAATCATCACATCAACACATCAACAGCCTATAATAGTCCACTGCTGGACATAGGCCTCTCCTTAGAAAGGAGGTTTTGGCCTACTATACTCTTTGCAGTGCCGTTGTCTTGCGTAGTTTGCTCCCTTAGTCGGCTCTTACGACACCCACGGGATGAACAGGGGTGGTGACATTCCGTATTCTTAATCCGTTCGTCCACTCAATATACTTCTATATTTCGAAACGCAAAATTTTTACAAATAAATTACACCAGACACAACCAAATTATTATACTCGATATTTGACAGTTATTTGACCTGGGTAGGAGAAGAAACGTCCGTGTGGTGACGGATTAAGAATACGGAGTGCCACTACCCCTATTCATTCCAAGGGTATCCTAAGAGCCGACTAAGGGAGGACAAGAGCACTGCAAACGAAACAAAACTTAATACAAACCCTTTATCAACTCGTCTGGCCATCGTGGAATAGTAGACCAAAACCTCCTTTCTGAAGAAAGGCCGATGTCCAGCAGTTGACTAATAAAGGCTGTTGATGATGAGGAAAAGAAACCTTTGGCCCTCCAGGGTTGTTTTAAAAAAAAAAAAATTACCTCACACATCTCACACACGGCTGTTTGATTCCAAACTATGGTAACCAGACTACCGATAAACGTACCTTTATATTTCTAAATACGCATAAATTTACACATAAATATGCTAATACATAAACTTTGTTTCAGATTCCGCCCTGTACGCTCATTATGTGTTCAAAGCTTTCGACGTCAACTGCAGTGGTGCAATCAGCTTTAGAGTGAGTAGCTCTCATTATCTCATCTTTCATTCATTCATTTTAACCATAGGAGGGTTGTTTGGCTTTCCACAATTAGATCTATTTAACTCTGAACCATACCAATTTAACAGGATATTAACTGATGTATGGTGGCTAATAAGACTAAACTGTATTTTTTTTAAATTGACTGCCTCGTGGTTCAGGGGTAGCGTAAGCGACTGCTGTGCTGGGATCTCGGGTTCGTTTCCCGGGTCGGACCAAATGTTTATATGATCTGCAAATATTTGTTTCAGAGTTTGGCTGTTTTCTATGTATAGTATGTATATATTTACAAAAAAAAGTATATAAGTATCCTATCAGTTAATCTAGCTTTCACAGTATTAGCTCTGCTTAGTTTGAAACTAGATGGCGTTGTGTGTTTGATGTAAAAAAATAATTGCTTATTTCGTTATAATTTTAGCGTTTGTCTCTTCAGTTTCTCTTTATATTTAAATATTACGGTTACTTTTATTATAATTGCACAGCTCTTTAAATTATTAGTATATTGTTAAAACATTACAAGCCTATTAGATGTATAACTGCGAAAACATTTAAATGGTGCATAGTGTTAATGCTGTGTCCCTTGGTATATACACTGTATGCTTTCCGAACATAAAGAAATTTCTGCGGGAATCGAGCCCGCGAGTTTTGTCTTAGCAGTCCGTTACACAAACCACTACGCCACTCGGCCGTCAATTTTTTTTTTTTTTTAAATTAAGAAAACTGAGTGTGATCACCCCTATTCATCCCGTGGGTGCCGTATTAGCCGACTAAGGGAACAAACTACGCAGGATAACAGCACTACAGAGAAAAGGAAAACTTGAAAGAAACGCTTTACCAACCCGTCTGGACAGGCCAAAACCTCTTTTCTAATGAGAGGCCTATGTCCAGCAGTGGACTAGTAAAGGCTGTTGTTGATAATGATGATACTTAAAAAACGAGCGAGTCTTACAGTAGGTGATGATCATCCCATTACAGGCGCAGAGTGGCACACCGTGTGGTTTTGCCCACCGGGGTTTGCGGTGTGTCTGAATCGAACCGACTGGTTCGATTCAGACACACCGCAAACCCCGGTGGGGTAACGACCCGAGGGTGTGATGTGGCGGTAAAAATGCTTTTGACAGATTTTGCCTATTAAAAATATTTTTGTCCGTTTAATTGTTCTAACTGTAAGACACAAATAATAAATAAACTCTTACGTCAAATGACTGTAATGATATGAATAATACATAACAACAACAGGGAATAATACATTTCAGGTTAGTACAATTTTTTTTTTGGTTTGTACATATTTATTTTTATGTTTTATAAAGGTAAATATTTTTTCTTCGGAACAGTAGACATGTTGTTGCAACATAGGATTCAATGGAAATAGCAAATGGGACCCATCGTTACCACCTAAAAAATGAGATCTAAAACTAAGATCATAGGTCCATTTAATTAAGCTGATCCTCTGATATGGTGACAAGACTGTTGACTAACGTGCTTATATATTTCTAAATACATACATTTTATAGAAAAAATACAACTCTACTCATCCAAGACAAAAATATTGTGACGAGTGGCGACACACATTTTTTTTGGGCTGGATGGAATCGAATAAACTATATCTGACTCAGCGATATCACTTATTATTGATATATATGTAAACTTAACTTAGTTTCATGTTTGATAATATACTTTAGCCATAAACAACTCCCTGTTTAAGTTGAAAAGAAATTTACTTTTTGAACCTAGCAACCCCTTATTACAATTGCCCATAACTTAGCCAGCTTAGCCTTATTTTATTTTATATCTCTGATCGAAATAAGAGGCAATGTCTTGAAAGCCTAAATTTGTACCAAAAATTAGTTTTTTGCGCAGCCACTTTCTTAGCTTACGTAAGCGCGATGAATATCACTTTTTTACGTAAAAAGTAGAGGGTGTTATAAATAGAAGCACCCTGTGTACCGAGGAGGGAACACGCTGTATCTTCGATCAAAACAAGAGCATAACATCAAGTGTTATACTGAACATGAAAGAACTAGTAAAACTGTGGACTTAGCGAAAAATATTTTTGCTTGTCCGAGATTTACTAATTTTTAGAAAAAAATTATGGTTTCTTAGAATAATGTGTAAATTTATGTGTACGCTTAAAAACCTTAAACAGCTGCACCGCTTAAGATCGAATGGTAACACGGTATGCAACCCGCTTTAAAGGTTGTCTTTATCTTTTTTTTTGCGTCAGTTTTGTTCAGCAGTGGACTGTTATAGGCTGTTGATGATGATTCGTTCCTCGTTACTCATAACTGCAAATAAAATGTGCCACAGCTACACGTGGCCTGGTGATGTATAAATATGATGCGGTAGGTGCAAAATAAAATATTAAATTTAACATAATTTAAGTCCAGAGACATACACAATATATAAACACACATAAGTAAACATACTATGTTAGATAAACCTATATCAATTTAATAAAATATATAAATATTCGTTTTCATCGGGTAAATATTTATCCTGGAATATAATTGAACTAACGACCACTGGCTCAGCAGTAAGGCCATTAACCACTAGAGTAAAATATCTATCAAAGTATCGATTGTCCGTCTGTGTGATGAGATAAATATACAGCAGAAAAGTGTTCGAATCAAACGTAACGTAACCAATATAAAAAAATACATCCACATCGAGAGCAAACTTCTTTTTTTTAAAATAACATATATTAGATTAAATCAATATCCATAACTATTTTTCCATACATATAATATTATTACAAGTTGATAGTTTTCGTAGTGTCACTTTGCATTTATTGCGAAACTTCGAAAGATCGAATTGCTCAAGTTGTTAAATCAACATACAGAACCCACTACATATACATAAGGTTATATGCTTGTCAGTTTTTAGGACACAAGTTTTAGAATAATATAAATAATAAAATAGCTCGATTAAAACCTTCTTACAAAAATAAAATGGTTTGCAACTTGTTAATATTGTGTTGCAGTTGTGTCCGTGTGGTGACATATGAAGAATACGGACTCTCCCTTTCTAAGGAGAGGCTTACGTCCAGTAGAGGACTAGTAAAGACTGTTGTTGATGATGATGATGATGATACTTAAAAAGACGAGCGAGTCTTAAATGTTTGTAAAGACAAACATACATGAACGGACACAAAGAACACCCAGACTCAGAACAACAAATGTGGATCACACAAAGTGTTATCCCATGTGGGTATCGAACCCACAACACTCAGCGTAGTAGTAAGCGGCGTCCGACCGTTTAAACCACTACGCCATCCGTAAGTCAAACTGTTTTCATCAACCTAAAAAAGGAGGAGATTATCTATGGACCGATTTAGAAAATTCTTTTTTATTTAGGGCAATATTATTCCTCTTTGGTCTCCAAAAAGTAACCACTCCTGCATGTTTTGTCTTCTCTCAAATGTATATTCTTCTGTACTAATTTAAATGTGGTAGGCATAATAAGCCCAGATCACGTCCGCTTGTCGGGAAAGATAGAATTAATATAAAAAGCTATCGTCTAGACAAAAACCATAACCTCGTCTTCGGATAATTGAATAGTTTTTTTAATACGCTTTTAGCTTGGTATGTACTCGTAAGTATGTAACGAAATTTTCAAACATGATTTTGATCAACCACAAAATGTGGAATTAAATTTAAACTGCACACTTATCAAGGGCCGATGACAATGCAATCATTTGAATAGTTTGCCCCATTATCATGGTCCTTCTCTTTGCAGTGCTGTTGTCCTGCCTAGTTTGCTCCCTTAGTCGGCTTTTACGACACCCACAGGATAAATAGGGATTGAGAAATCCCATATTCTTAATCCGTCACCACACGGATGAGTAATCCTGAAAAAGTTACTGTTTCCAAAGGATACCCAAATTGATTCAGAAATCTATAGTAAAAGCCGCCAAACCGTGGTCATAACCTACATAGGCAGTGATGAATCTTGCTTTTAAAACCCAACATAAAATAAAATTCGTTCCATTTACCTGAACAAAATTTACATTGTAATCATTCTATTGGACTTGAAGTTTTCTTGGCTCGAATTCGCTACGATTAAAAACTTAGAAACAGCGCCTAGCTATAATTTAGTGGCTATTATAGCCATAGTATGTGAAATATCCCGGATAATATGTATTTTTATATTATAGTAGGTACTAGATTTTATTTGTATGTGTCCGTGTGGTGACCGATTAAGAATACAAAGTGTCATCACCCCTATTCACACTATGCAAGACAACAGCATTGCAAAGAGAAGGAAAACTTGACACAAACCCTATACCAACCCGCCGGGCCAGCGTGGTGTAGTAGTCCAAAACCTCCATTCTAAGGAGAGCCCCATGTCTAGTAGTGGACTCTTAAAAGCTGTTGATAGATTTTGCCGGTGGCTCCACCCACTTGTGTGTCGGTAATCAGTATCATACCATCATCACACCAGTGATTGATTCACAAAACCACTGCGACTTGATTATTACGCTAGCGCAAATCTCGCGAAAGGTCCAATCTTTGGTAAAAAGGTATTTTGATTGATTTTAATGCCATTTATCTTAGTTTTTGACGAAATCACAATCACATGTGAAGTCGCAGTGACTAAAACTAATCATTTGATCAAATGAATATGATTTAAAAGTAGCAATAACTTCCATGTCTACTAGACAGACAGTATAATTTAAACATTGTATTTTTTTATCATAAAATATTACATAGCTTTAAATACAGTCTTTTATCTCATTTCTACAATCCAGTGAGGTATCGTCGGCACCATAAGGGGTGTGTGTATAAACAATTTAAAAAGCAAAAAAAAAACGTCTATAAATTAGCTAAAAATCTGTAAACAAATACTGTGAATGCTTTATTTATATTTTATAGAAATTAAAGCATTTCTTGTTACTATAATTTGCTGTCACCCTAACCCATGGTCACCATAACCACACAAGTTATTGCGGCAAAACATTTTTCAAGCTACCGTGATTTCCA